AAAACTCACCTCACCCTAAACCATAACCATCACACACACACAAACACACACATGTTCTTGTGCAATTTTACGTTACGCTTCACTACAAGTACTAGGTAGATGTACGCCAGACCACGTCTCGCGTAACAGGCTTCGCGATATCTCACGAAACACTGTTACGCTGCGACGCGCCTGGCATACATCTACCTAGGCCTGCGGCGCTGACACCCGAGTCGGGCAAAAGAAACAGTCGTAAATAGGCCTTCGGCCCCAAAAGTCACAATTATTGCTCCCCAGGGTTTTATTTTGACGAGTTGACCCTTCAGAGACCATGAAATATTTGAGAAAAAATTTTGGAATGGTTTGGGGTCATTTCCGTGTGAAAAACAGTGTCTGGCGCCTCAACGGTTAGAGATAGAGCCAAACGGACGAAAGTTTCGCCCAAAGGGCTCTACTTTGATGAGTTACCCCTTAGGAAACATTTAAAAAAATATCTTTTAAAAACCTCATTTTGGGGACCTGTGGTTTTTGATTTTTTTTAAATCCATTTTTTGAGCTAGAATGCTCTACTTCGAACTTGATCTGTCTTTTTAAGATACAAAACGACCCTGAAAATCCCAGGTCGCTAGCTCAATTTGTTCTCGAGTTATCGTGATGACAGACAGACACACAGACAGACACACAGACACACAGACAGACGCGAAACTTTTTGATCACTGGAGTAATAGGCTTCGCTAATCGCTCAGCCAAAAAAACGTTTCGGGAAAAAAATGAAACATTTGTAAATTTTCCAGTTAGCATTAAATTTCAATGGCGCAGTTCATCAAGCGCTTCTCTCTTTTCTGCAATCCTATGTACACCTGTAGGTCATTACCTTTCCATCCTATACCTCTTTTGTTTTTACTATCGCACCTTTATTCAACGTGGGTGGGCCGGTGTAGGGTTCTTCGCATGGACCGTTGGCGAGAAGAGGAGCCCCCCCGCCGCTACATCGGGGGCAGTGTGTGAGCGAGGCGTTCTGGTCGGCCGTAAATCGCGCGAGCAGCGAATTCATTGCAGCGCGGAAAGTTATTTATCGCTGTCCGCAAGATATGGCGTTTTAATGCCGGCCCCATCCCGGCGCTGCTGGCTGCGGTGCGGCGGTTGTGCTCTCGGAGGTCGGGCGGGGCGGCCGCATGCAATTGTGGGCCGTGTTGGGAAAGATCATGCAGTGTGTGAGTATTTATGTGCATTTTTTCCACACGCTAAAAAAACTACTGTTCGTGTGTTCTACCAGTGGCTGTGAGGCATAAAGTGTAACTCTCTCTCCTCGGCCGTTACACCGTCACACCGTCTTGTCGTACAGCCCTGGGTGCTTTCATGGGGGTTGATGGCTGGGCTGGCTGGCGCGGTCCGGCCATCAGGACCGCGCAGGGAAGGCCCATCCCATGAAGACCCGACCGGCCGACCGAAGGCCGACCGACCGGCCGGGCTTTGCCTTTTCATTACTTTGCCGGTTTTCTTTCCCCTTTCCGGGCGCCCTGCCGACCCGGCCGCGTCGGCCCGTGCAGCGGCGGCCAGCAGCTCGCCGCACAAACATTTGTTTTCCATTTTCATATGGGCTGAAAAGCTCGCGCCGGCCGTATTTTGGGCGGCCGGGCTCGGGGTCCGCGCCGGGGTCCTCCCGCCGCTCGTGTTCTTTTGTTCGCCCCTTTCTCCCCCAGCCCCTTCCCCCCTTCTGTTTGGCGCGGACCATTCACTTCCAGCCACCCCCCTGGTACGACCACCATCCACCACCATGCTTGCGGTGGGGGGCATGCAGCGCATGTTCGGAGGACACGGCGTTGCTAGGTATGGGTGAGTGGCGACTCCTTGGTCGACTATTTCGTCAGACGTATTGGGTGTTTCTGTCGGGTTTTATGCCAGATCGACCAGTTTCGTCCTGATTTTTTTTTCTATGTGCCTGTTATTTTTTGCCTGGTACGGGGTACGGGGTACGGGCCCTCTGCGGGTCTTTAGCGCGTCCTCGCGGCAGCGCGCTGGGTTACCTCCACCTCGCCTGCAGCCCGGTGTGCTCCCGACCGCCTGCTGTGCAATATCAATCTGAATCACGCGGCTGTATTTTTCCCCCGCGTTCATCAGCCTAATGCGGGGCGCTGCAGGGGAGGGGTAGTACGGGGGGGGGGGTGCTCTTTCATTGCGCACGGGAGAGAGAGGGAGGGAGAGAGGGAGGGAGAGAGGGAAGAGAGGGGGGCCTGGTCTGCATGGAGGCGCTCTCCCCCTCCCTTCTCATTGAGTTATGATTCGGAAAGCACCGCTTCAGTTCAGTTCCCGCTCTGTTGCGTCTGGCTGGTAATCATGGCCCGTGCAGTCTTCATTCATTTCACCCTTCACCCCCGGCCGCCCCCATAGCCGCCCCCAGCCGCCCCCGGCCTGGCGCCGAGGCGGAGCAGGGGCTGGGGGGCCTCGGCAGGCGGGAGCGCGGCCAGCGCGGGAAGGTTGCGGTGGTCCATTTCATCAGATTGGCTGGCGCGGGGCTCTACACACACACACTTACACAAACACACACTCACGCACGCGCGCCCGCTCAGACACACTCACAAAACCACTCACTTGCGTCCCGCGCTGCCGCCAGGGCGAGTCAATTAATATCATGCCCTACCGAAAAACTAAGGGGAATTATACAAATTTAAATTTGAACTTTGATACAACGGCATATCTCTCCGAAATATATATTTCGGCAGAGGTAATTATGATTACTGGGTAAAATATAAAAAGAAATCGTTAGCCTCGGAATCGTGCGGTATCATTTGCCTCGTATCACAAAAATACCTGCTGTGAGTTCTGACGAAGTCCACACATGCGTATGTGTGGACCAGGTGGGACATGCTGCATCAACGGACCTATAATGTTATCTCTGGTAGATATGCATCCCACTCTACACACGTGTATTCGGTGGTATATTTTTGCCTACCGGGTTGGCAACACTGCGCACACAGGTCTGCTCCGTCTGCTACTTGTCGAACGGGGCGGCGGCCGCGGTGCCCCGCGTGCTGCCTGGCTGGCTGGATTGCAACACGCTCTGCAAACAGAGGGCCGCAGTGCCGTACTACTGCGCGGAGGACTCGTGGAGTCGAGCGCGGTGCCGCGGGGCTGCGGGGAGGAGGCAGGGAGTAGCTGGCGGGAGGGAGTGGGATGGGGGCGGCACTGACGGATACGGAGGCTGCTGGAATATGCGCCGTGATGATCAGGACGACTGCCCCACCACCCCACCGCCTTCCTCTTCCCCACGATCCTGCAGGGGGGTGGGGGTACAGGGGTAGACAAGAGAGGGCGAATTCCTTGAAGAAATTAGAATAGGAAGGTCCTGGCCTGCCTGCAGTACAGCTGGCGCCAGGGTTACGCGGTGGACGGGTGTCCTGAGCATGCGCTCCCGCCCCTACCGCCGCCCCAGAACGCCGGTGACACGGCTTGATCAGAGAAAGAAGTGAACCTAGGTTTGAAAAGTTGCACAACCCATTTGTGTTTTGACTTGAACTTTTAACTTTAACAAAGGGTCCTATCGAGAGGGGGTCCCTTTTTTTGAGTTTGAGTTACTTTATTTTCGGGTAATGGAAAGAAACAAATCTGAGGAGGGATCGTGAGCGCCACCGATCTGCAAGTCTTGCAAAGCAGGACACCTTTCTGCCATTTCACCATCCACTTGCCAGTCACCACCTAAACCACCGGCGCAAGCCCGGCCAGCGGGCTTCCGACAGGAAATCGAGCCGTCAGTGACGGGCGGGGCGCGGGGCGGGTGGGTCTGCCGGTCAGTCAGTCGGCTGCCCTCGGCTGAACAGCGCCCCCGCCCCCACCCGGCCCAGGCTATCCGCTCCTGACCCTTTTCCATAATTGATGCTCGGGACGAGACTGGTCGGCCCACTCCACTCGGCCCCCTCTCCACGCGGCGCCACGCCGCCGGGGAGGCGATGGAGGCGTCTTATTCGCGCCGGCCCGGGCTTACGGAACACAAACACACGGGAGTGAGTAAGTGAGGAAGCTACGCGTCCTGGGGAAGCCAACACCTGGACCGTGCGTGATGACAAAATCAACTTGCGGTGTGAAGTTGACTTGAGACTATTACGGCCACTAACGGCCTTGATGTCTGCAGTGCGGCGGATGCACAGGTGCTTTAGGGGCTGCTGCATCCAGCGCCCGCCTACTGGGCAATCCCTTGCCTCGGTTGTATCAATGTGCGGCGCGCCGCCATAGTAGGCACACAGCACACATTTTTCCGCGAAGTTCCCGGTTATTTCCGGAAAAATCCCGGTTTTCTCTGGCGCATGCGCAGAGCACAAGTTGGCAAATTTTAGTGTTTTAGTAATTTCGTATTTTTGATGGGTTTTGAGCCTAGCGGGTAGGAATGAAGTTGAGCTGTCCTCAGATATTAACTAGTTTGCCGTCACAATTCTCTCGAATAAGCGTTTTTTCATCGAATGTTCCTACATAACCTAAAATTTTGAGGCGGGAAAAGTGCACTGGGAAGTACTTTCCCGAGTTAACCAGGCGGGACTTTACGGAAAAATGTTTGCTGTGATCGCTGGAGAACCCTGAAACGCGGCGAGCGGGTGAACCCTGCCGGCGCACTGCTCTGCTCCCGCCATGATTCATGGCCGAGCGCTCAACCTCCGCACGCGCGGCGCCCACCGGCTCCCCCGGCTCCCCCGGCT